ATGAACCCGAAGTCATCTGTTCAGTCTTGCTTCCTTATAAATGACCAATCATGCTCCAATTCTAACACTATTGCAGAAAGCTTCAACAACTATTTCAAGTCCGTTTTCTCTCGTGATGATGGCACTATCCCAGATTATGCTTGCAACTTTGTTCAGTCTACAATTCCAGACATCACAATCTCTTGTTCAGGTGTTCACAATTTGATACTAAGATTAGATGTGACTAAAAGTTCCGGTCCTGATGGCATTCCTAATACGCTCTTGAGGCGGTACTCCGAATGGTGCGCTCGGTTACTTGACTGTCATTTTTAATAAATCGTTCGCGTCAGCCACTGTTCCCATACTTTGGAAGACAGCTAATGTTGTCCCGTTATTTAAATCTGGCAATAAGAAGCTCATTCCAAATTATAGGCCAATTTCCCTAATTTCAACAAGCTGTAAACTACTGGAACATATCATTCATAAACATATTGTTGAGTATTTGGATGCAAACAACCTTCTGTCCCGGTGTCAGCATGGCTTCCGAGCTGGATTTTCTACAACAACGCAGCTCCTAGAATTCACCCATGACATTGCCACATCACTTAACAAAAGGGGTCAGACAGACGCAATTTTCATAGACTACTTGAAAGCTTTCGACAACGTATGCCATAAAAAACTTCTAAAACTTAGTTCCTTTCTTAAAGATTCTAAATTACTCGGTTGGATTGCGGATTACTTGCGTTCTCGATCTCAGTTCGTTACTTTCAACCAGGTGCAGTCATCCCCTGTTGAAATCACATCCGGTGTGCCGCAAGGCTCTGTGCTAGGGCCTCTTGTTTATTATATTTATTAATGATGTTGTTAATGTCATCTCTGGAACCCCTGTAAACATACGTCTGTATGCCGATGATTGTGTACTGTATAACTGCATTACTACCTTTCAAGACCAGTCAGTCCTCAACAACGTATTCTCGTTATTCTGCGATTGGAGGTCAACGTGGCAAATGCCCATAAATTACAAGAAAACTGTAGCTATGACTTTCTCAAATAAAAAACAGCCTCTCAGTTTCAGTTATAACTACAATGGGTCCACCCTAGCACATGTGAGTGAATTCAAATACCTAGGCATCACCTTTACACATGACCTTAAATGGGGCAAACATATTGATCAGATAACTTGTCAAGCTCTAAGAAAACTTGGTTACTTAAAGCGAAGACTGAAAAACTCGACAAAAGATTGTAAGTTAACTGCCTACAAGACGCTAGTGAGACCGATGCTTTAGTACGCCTCTGTGGTTTGGTCGCCTCATCTTGAGCAAGATAAAAACAGGTTAGAATCTGTGCAGAATAAGGCTATACGGTTCGTTTTTAACCGTAATGATCGGGACTTCCCCCCGTCTTCACATGCTCATTTGTTGTCACTTCATTCACTGGAACACCGCCGTACACGTGAGAGTATTATCTTGTTGCACAAGATTGTACACAAAATGACACGCGTTCACGCGCCCTTATCTTTCGCTGATATACCAGCACGTACAACACGTAGTACAGACGCTTTGAACCTTGTACACTTCAGGTCTCGTTTGGATTGTTTCAAATTCTCTTTTTTTCCGCATGTGGTGAAAGTTTGGAACAAGCTTGATGGTGCATTGCGTAGACTGAACACTGTAGAGTTCGGGAAAAATTTTATGTGTTAGTCACATAAATTTGTGCGCACTATTGCTTGTTTCTGTGCTTTCGTTGATTTTTCTGTACCCGCTCCTGCAATGTCCCAGGCATGGGACAGCAGTACTTGTAAATAAATAAAAGGCAAGCTTCTTTAACATCTTGAACATAGTTGCCGTCGACACGGATGGCAGCTCGCTGTCCTCTTTGAAGTGGCTGACAGTGGGGATCTCAATTCTGTGAAATAAACAGTGCACAGTCCTTCGCAGCACTCCCAAGCTTCTTTTTGTGCTGGCATCTGCAACGTTTCTTTGGCGCCCGCTCTTTCTTTCTCAAACGCCCACTACTACAGCGTCCGCTCACTCACGCTTTTTAGTTGTGCAATCCTTTTAGCAAGAGGATTCATGCTGGTTCCTCCTCTGCAGTGATTCTGAAGCTTTTCTTGGAGGTTTAACGCTAGCGTCTTTGCCTCTTTCGGATAAAATAGAACTTTCAAAGAATGGCATGAACTAGATGCTACTACACTGGCTGAAGCTATGTTTGTCAAGGACGGCGCACCACTTTTTAGAGCCTCCGCATCGTGTTTCTTAGAGCCCCCGCATGCAATAACGATTGATTGATGATTTGATTGATATATGGGATTTAACGTCCTAAAACTACCATATCATTATGAGAGATGCCGTAGTGGAGGGCTTGGGAAAGTTCGACCATCTGGGGTTCTTTAACATGCACTCAAATCTGAGCATACGGGCCTACAACATTTCCGCCTCCATCGGAAATACAACCGCCGCAGCCAGGATTTGATCCCATGACCTGCGGGTCAGCAGCCGAGTACCTTAGCCACTAGACCACCGCGGGGGGGGGGGGGGGGGGGGGGGCATACAATAAGGATTAATTGATTTTTCAAGAATAATAAATCAATGCTCAATCAGTGAATAGACTTCTTGCATGCTATCAACATAATCTGTCAATGTGCAAGGAACTATTTATTGATGACGTTGGTAAAAAATTAAAAAAAAAATTACAGTACTAAAGCGGATATCCTCAAATAATCACAGTGAAGGACTTCTAGTTGGTTTCAAATTATAGGAGCACGTACAAAAGCAATTATTTTAGTCACCGTACGAATATCGCACACTGCACGTGAAGCAAGTTTTTGCGAATGCAGCGAGTGCGCGGACTTTCGAAATGGCGACCTGAAGTTACTGTACATGCTACCTTTAGGTGCTACCTAAAGTAGCATATAGAGTAACTATGGCAACACTGCCGCTAGCGCTCCTCACAGATGACGTCAAGCCTTATAATTTGGTATAACAAGACAATTTGCTGGTATCACACTCATTGGTAAGAGCTGAAGTGAAACTAACAAGTTGTATCTTTAGGGCCCCATATTGCATAGCTCAGTAGAATGCTGCTTAAAGGGCCAATGATCACTTCAGGTGCCAAAGCGGTTTTCGTGCTGTCAGTTATCTAAGCGTGAAGCAGAGGTTAGTAGCACTGAAAGTTTACCAGCCATCTCACTATGCAGCAAGATAGCGTGCACAAGCGACTGTGCCCTGCTAGAGATGCAGCCCCCCCCCCCCTCCCCGCAAAACGAAGCACTCAATGCAATGACGTGATGTTCAATTTTTTATAAACCGTCAACTATTGACCCTGGAACCTGCAAGGTGAGAGATGACAGACATGTAGCAAGCGCAGCCGCCTCACAGAGGGTTTTCCGACACCAAATAAGCCAGCGATGGCCTCACTACTGAAAGCTGCGCATATTAAAACCGAATTGCAGCTGCTTCGACCAGGACGCATAGTTTTATTAATCAGATGAAATTAAAAAAAAAAGCACACGAAAATTTTGAATTCCGACTCTGGCAATGCGGAGTTCGAGAGAGCAGGGTCCTTTAGGGCTTTTAACCGCAGCAGCGATTACGAACGCGGATATGCTTGAGGAAAGAATTACCGAAAAGCACTTCTGAATAAAGATTCGTGAATAAAGTACATTAAAGAAAGTGTCAACCAGTTCCCACTGCTCATGTGTTGTTTTGTGGGTGCAAAGCACGGAAAATTAGATTGTGATGTCCAGAACTAGACAGGACATTCTGGTGGCACGTGTGCAGTTGTTGGTGAAAATTGCTTCAATTACTTGCCACGCAACTCTTCAAAAGTGTTCCTGGAACGTAAGATGTCCGCCAATGAATCACCGCCACAGTTTGAGGCTACCGATTGGGCTAATTGTCACAAGCCCCTGCGGCACACGCATTTGGCCATTAAGCAGACTTGCACATCAGAAGTTGCATCGACACCCAACATACCATCCTGAATTACTTAGGATGCATGCACGAGCGCTGTTTATTCAGCGGAATAATTCTAGGTACATGATTGTGATTTTAGCAGATCCAAGAACAAGCTTTGCCAATGTTTTGAATCGCCTGCGCAACTAATGACGGTGATAGATGCCCTCGAACCAGAGACTTTGCTTTGGCGCAGTTTGGTGCAATTTCTGTTCCTATTATCAGTAAGGCCCAGTAAATCTGATTTGGCACACTTTGGAGCTGGAGTGAAATCCCTGCTCTAGTACACACCTCGCAAGGTGCTTTTACAGGCTAGTAAGGTTAGTACTTCTACACTGCAGTGAAACCATTTTACGAGGGGTTGCGTGCACACCTATTAGTTCATTTTGAATCCTTTGACATTTTCAATAATTTAAATTCAAATCAATTGATTGTTGATAGGTATGTGGGGTTTAACGTCCCATAACCCCCATATGATTATGAGAGACGCCATAGTAGAGGACTCCGGAAATTTCGACCGCTTGGGGTTCTTTAACGTGTGCCCAAATCTGAGCACATGGGCCTACAGATTTTTGCCTCCATAGAAAATGCAGCCGCCGCAGCCGGGATTCGATCTCGCAACCTGCGGGTCAGCAGCTGAGTACCTTAGCCAGTAGACCACCATGGCCACCGAGTTCGAATCAATTCGAATACTGTAATACTCGCACTTAAAAGGAAGTTACAGCAAAGTTTTCCTGATGGGAGCACAATTTCCTCGAGTTCCCCCCCCCTCGTGTTTTTCCCCGGACGGTAAATAGCACGACTATTAATTCAAAATGCTATCTATGAATATTAACATTGTCCAGCCAATATGAAGAAGTGCAACGTGCAATCAGGGGAAAAGACCAAGTGGTAATAAGAAAGCGAAGAAGCAAGAAAAAAGGTGGCAGATTCTTGTGTTCTTAATATTTGACCACATGCACTGGAAATACTTACTCAGGAGCCACAAGGCAGCTAAGCAACAGAGAGGCACACAATCAAAACAATGACAAACAAGAAAAGCAGCAGCATGATTGAACCAACTCATACCTGGCTCTGTATGCGAGTATTCTCTGCAAGTCGCTTGGCCTCTGGTGTGTCTGCCACTGTTGTGTGTTTGGCCTGCGGACAGTGACTGAAAAATTCAAAACAAACAACAGTTGTCCCGAAAGACTCGCTCATAAATACAGTTTCACTCTTATTGTGGACCAGTGATACAAAACCTTGCCTGAATTGTTATACAAAGTAAGCAATGAACTGTTGTGTGGGATAATGGCAGTAAAAAACCACTTACACGTGCAAAAAGCTGCTCGTCTCACCAACTTCAGTTCACAGTGCCCTTATCGTTCTTCTGCACCTCACTCTTGGCTTCATTGAGGTGATTTCACTAAAGCTAACAGGTGAGCGACACAGCTTACCGTTAGGTAGCATTTCCACACTTTAAGAATCTGTGGCGTAGCATCAGCAGAGTAGCCAAAAGGCACACTCCTTGACAGGCACTTAGATCTTAAAATCCTTTCAAGAATTTTCTCTACATTTCTTTATGCCCACATTTATTTAAATTAGGCTCTTGTTACAATGGCAATCAGAGGTTACCATGGGAGCAAGTACATAACAGTTATCACTCACAACACTTCACACTTGAGCACCTTGTAGGTCCATTGGACTCTGGGAACATCAGTAATGCCCTCTTCGGCCAGATGAAAACACTTAGCGTGTCAATTCCAGAATCATAAAGTGTCAACAGTTGGGACCTGCCAATGTTTAGGCTGCTTGCGCAAGGTGATTGGAGCCACTACAGGATAACCCCACCAACACAGTTAAGACATTAAGGTTGTATGAATGCATTTTCTTAATCCTTTTTTTTTTTCAGTTTTTGATCTTACTCATAAATATAGTGATATCTGTATTAGCCCTAGTTGGGTCCATATTTTATTCAACTTGACATAACCTAAAGATAAATCGGTCCAGGCTTTCAATTAGTTAAAATTTAGTAACAGTTCAGTACAAAACAGATCAAAGAGAAGAATACACTAATACCCCTGTCACACGTGTCAACTGAAGTGCACTTGAGCGAGTACATTTCGCCGCGAGTGTCCTTTGCGCGCTGTCACATGAGAAAGTTTAGTGTTATTCGCCGCACTTGTGGCCAACACATTTGCCGGCAATTGTGCTCGCCAACCTCACTTTGCTGCGATGAAGTGTGTAGCCTCGGTACCTGTGGCTTGTACAGAAATACGCTGTTGGCTAAAGCGGTGCTCATGCAATTTTTCAAGCATTGTTTTTGTTATGAGGGATACTGCTATGTGTCAGAACAAGTAATAAAATTCAACAAAAAACCTGGCTACTTTCACTGTCGGGCAGTTTGCGGCCACGTCCGCTAGGCGGATACGGCAGCACATGCTGTGCAATGACTGCCTCTGTCCCATTTTTATTTACAGGCACTCTTGCACATGTGCAGGTGAGCTTGTTCTCTAGTCATTTAAGATGGCGTGTGCCACTGGTGCTACTTCCACGAAGACAGCTTGGTCTTACGATGAGACACAGGCACAAAAATAACAAATATACGTTGTGCTACAAGTCCGTCTGTTGCCACTGCCAGTCATTTCAAAGTACACTTCACTTTCTCGTGTAGCAGTGAACCACCAAAATGACATTTTATGAGTGTTAGTACACTCGCTCAAAGTGCACTCAACTTGGCACAGGTGACAGGGGTATAAGTGCTATGTAATGTTAGTTCGAACATGTATCATACACTCGCCAAAAGAATTACTATCCCAGGTTTCTAATCTGTTTCTTGCTTGACCAGGTCATTCACTCCACGGTGTTGGGGAATTGAAGGGACACTAAAGTAAAACAGGTTAAAATTAGGGATCATTTAAACGAAAACAACAAGGGTTTTCAAGGAAGGATATGTGTGAAAATTTTCAAGGAACAGCATTGTCTGTTAGAAATCCAATTAGCACATCTTTGGGTAAGGATGGAGGCTTGAAATGACTAGAATTCATCAAAAAAGGGGCACCATCACTGGAGCAGACATCGAAAACATGGCTTAAATAACAGTTCCCTTTCTAAACAACTCTCAATCATATTTTCTTAGAGTTGCATAGATAATCGCTTTCCATATAACGCTAGACACAAACATTTATTCAGAGAGGAAAAACTAAGAAACAGTATTATGCTACGCCTTGCTGATTTTCCTGAATTTCCATATCAATGTCCCCTATCTCCTGCGGCTTGGCCTTGGCAGTCTTCCTAAGGCTGTTTGGCTTGATGATGCACACCAGGTCGCTAGTTGCCTCTGTTTTTTCTGGATATTAGTCTGCTGTGGATTCCTCAGCAGCGAATTTTCTTTTTTTTTTTGTAAGCATTTCGACCTTCTCAATGCTACATTTTTTTTGTTTCTCATCCTTCTGCCTTTTCAGTCCCAAAAATGCAGTGTTGTCTGCCACAGTGGAAGTACTGATGGTGCTCGGCGGTAGACCCGATGGTTGCAGGTTCATTCCTGGCAGTGGGAGACGAAACGGTAGAGGTCTGTGTAACATGCGAATGCCTGTGCACACTAAAGGACATCAGATGGTCAACATTTCCATGTCAACAAAGCTTCTCTCATAATCATATCTTGGTTTTGAGACGTAGACTCCAGATATCATCATTAGTAAATATGCACGGTGTTGGTTCCTTGCAGAAGCAACTAATGTTTGTATTTCTTTTATTATGGGCACATTACATATGGCCACTGCGGCATTTACGGCATCACAAATAATGCACTTTGAAATGTGTGACAATGCTTATTGAAAATGTGTAAAAAAAGGAAATTCAAGGATTTGGCAAATTCCAGCACTTTCAACACCCTGAAAACGAACTTTTCAAATGCAAGGGTTTTCAAGAGTTTTAAAAAAACCCACATGAACCCTCTAATATAGATAAATTTTACACTTAGAACTCTAATAGTAATAACTTCACCATAATATGTTAACAGAAGAGAAAATCAAAGCCAAAGTTTTGTTTTTAATTTTTGCTGTGAAATTGCCGCACAAAGCATCACAGATTTAAACACGTATATTTTATACTTAGGTGACATTGGCTGAATGAAATTTCCTGGGACTCTGTATTTAAGGTGTACAGCCCCCTCAGAGGACAATGTATTAATCTCGTTAGAAACTATATAGGAGCTAGCCAATGCCGTCGAAATCTATGATGTTGTAATGTTTGTTGTAGCGATTGCAATGTGGTGTCCCTATTTGTCACCGATGAAGGACTGACGGAATACATGCTTAACGGCACAATACATTGCAATTAGCAGGACACTCAGAACGCGAAAAGAAATACAGATAAATCTGAAAAAAAAAAAAAAAAAGACAGGCCTGCGCAGAAGGCGCTAGCACAGCCACAGCGAAAGCACGAATGGCCGCTTTCAGAGCCTTTTCTTAACACTGTTTGGGTAAATGCTAGAAGTACACTTGCTGGATATGCACTATGCCACAAATATTTATAATTTCTGCATAGTAGGCCGGCATATACATTGGTATCATTTGTCATTCTTTCGGAGCAGCATGGCTATCTGCTAAATACTTGCAACGAATTTTGTGTTGCATTCAGTGGCTGACGACGAAGAATTACGCCTGAAGTGAGTATGTGCCACAGATAATAGGTGATGAAGAACAAGCTTTTGTAATGTGTTAGAGCATTGGACGACCCACTCGTTAGCGATTTGCATTGCGATGCCTGGTTGTTCCTTTGCTGTTCTAAAACGCTTTATTACTCATATTAACGCGATTTCTTTCCAGAGATCAAGCCTCCCTAAGGAAAGTTTGCGAGCAAGTCCCAAGCACCGGCGTGGCTCAATGATAGAATACTGGGCCGGCACGCAGTGGACCCGGGTTCATATCTCACTATATCACCACATGTCTTCGGTGTTTATTATCTGAGTTTTTTCCTTATTTTGTGCGACATTGGTTACAGACACCGGCGGCGTCGGACAACTACGGCACTGCCCGTGACCCGTGTTGTGATCTCATAACAGCTTTCGCTGTAAAACAAACACAAGAACACGATATACCTACATGACCAATCTGAATGGCCCCATCAAGTTCCTTCTTACTGCCTATTCATGGTCCATAACACTGGCCTTGCAGCTGCAGGATTAACAGTCGATCTTACTTGCATCTTAAATAGATAAAGTGCAACAGAAACTGGAAAGAAAAGAAACTACAGCGCTGACTTGCAACTAAACTTTATTCCAAAAATAAGCAGAATAAATAACATCCGAAAATGCAAACACAGGAAAGAACCATCGCACAAGTTCAAAGTGACAAAACACGACAAAAGGCTATGTGGCTGACGAACCGTGCAAGCAATCTGTGAAATATGAAACTTCTGCACCTGATGTGTTAGAGAAGGCTGGCTAATACAATTATCCCCTTCCAGTGACATATACATCACTTCCATGATTTCTCGTGACTGTTGGTCTCCGCAGGGATGCAAGATTATCAACATAACGATTACAACCACTTCTGTGACAATGAATGGCCAAATGAGAGCCTGTGCAGTTTTTTAGATTATGCGCATGCTCTTGGATTTTTATATTGATGCAACGACTAGTTTGCCCAATGTTAACCTTGTTGCAAGATCAAGGAATCTTGTATAGTGCATTGGTTCGGCACTCAATGAATTTATACTTGTGCTTTATCACACATTGTTCCCTTGTGTCATAATTTTCTCTGCTCAATTTCCTTTGCACAGCTGGACATACTTGCGGCAACTTCTGGCCAATGCTGAAAACAATGTCGACTTTGTATCTACTATCACATTTTTAAGCTCGTGCGACAACATATGCCCATAAGGAATCACGGCTAAATTATTTCTGGTTGTGCAGTGATTAACTTCTGTGTCCTTCTGCCCAGCCTTTACTTTCTTACCACTTTTTCGCAGGCCCTCATGATGGCCATTCAGGGTATCCTGCTTCCTTGAAACCTGCTTTGTCTTGAAACCTGCTTAGTGAAGCTCTGTTGCATTTTGTGGTAACAGGTTTAAACAATGAAGATTGAATGCATGCAACACTAATGCCATATTTTACAACTTTTGTGTGATCAGATGAAAAAGCAAGCAATGGCTTAACTGCCCTGAAGCAAT